CGCTGGGTGATTGCCGCTCAGAAGCTTCGTTGCGAACAAGCCACGTTGGGAACAGCGTGTGATTTTGAACAGCGGATTTGAATAAACATATTGATTGCTTGCTTTGTGCAAGTGTCCTTTAACCCAAACATGTTTATTTACATACTTGCAGATTTGGCTGACTTGAAATGCATATTTGAGGACATTGCCTGGGGTTCTGCTGGTCATCGGTGGTGTTGTAATGTCTCAATCTCCGCGATATTTGATGGAGCAGGGCAAAACCCAGGATGCCCTTCACACATTACTCCGATTGCGGAATCAGGATGGAACTGGCGCTGCAAATTCAATGACAACCCAAGAGTGTCTGCCCCGAAGACTTGGCCTTGGTGATGACTTGACGCGTTCCAAGTGTTTTGAGTAGTTATTTATATACTTAATGCATTGACTTTTGGCCAAACAGAGATTTTGATATGCCCAACTAATTGAACATAACAAGTTCCTTTTCCATCGGTTGATGTTTGCGGTTGCCAGGACGTCCGACAGGAGTTGGCTGAGATCTACCGACAGCGTGAGTTGGAGACAGACACCGGATCATGGAGGGAATTTCTTTCCGGCAACAATGGTCACTTGGAAGAAGGGTGGAGCCTTCCAATGTTTTTATCCGAGCACCAGAATGTGTTCATCTACATCGGCATCCTCCTTTCAACACCCCTTTTCAAGAGCCAAGTGCATGGAGACTGAATTTCACCCTGCACTTGGCTCTTCTAGTTTCATCATTTCCACAATGTATTTTCTAGCTTGGCTCGAAAACGCCGCCTTGGTCCAAGGCAAGCTTCTAGGACTTGGCGTGGCCATCCAACTATTGGGCCAGCTGGCTGGCATGAATGTCTTCATGTTCGATGGTCCATTGATTTTCAGCATGATTTTTCAAAGCGACCACGCCGGCCGCCTCTTCACAGTGGTGGCAGGCTGGAACAAGTTTAAGCGCAAGAGTCGCAGCCGTAGACATAGAAGTAGGAATAGTAGGAACTGGTCGTAGTAGTGGTGGTGGTGGTAGTAGTAGTAGCAGAAAAAGTGGTAGTAGAAGAAGAAGAAGAAAAATAAGAAGTAGAAGTAGAAGTAGAAGTGGACGTGTAAGAAGTAGAAAACAAGTAGAAGTAGAAGTAAAGGTATATAGTAGTCGTAGAGCCAAGATCAAGAGCAGAAATTCGCTTGTAGATGAAGTAGATGTGGAGGTTGATGCCAACTACTGTACCCCCTTCCCTTTTTAGTTGTAGCTGGACGCAGGATGGTTCATCTCCCATGTTGGATCCATCCAGCCTTTGTCAAGGGCACTCGCAGCTGTAAAATGGCCGGGTTCTTTCCAACAATGCGTTGGTTTGTTCCAAACCAAACCCGGCCAGATACTATATATATATACACATGTATGTACCGCAATCTTTTCAGCACCAAAGGAAAGCTGTTCACAGGGTTCGCAGAACGTCCTCCAGGTGTTGTGAACATCTTTGCGACGATACCAGTGATCTTTTTGGTGGACCGCTATGGTCGCACCTGGTTGATGAAGTGGTCGGCAATTGGACCCTTGGTGTTGAGTTTGTTGTAGTATGGTGTAACAGGGTACCGTGTTTGCGTAGAACATCCTGACTTATGTCTATTTGTGCTTGCCTTCTTGCTGGTGTCTACTTATATACTTCATTCAAGACTAACAGAGGTATGCAGCTGGCAAACAACACTAGTCAGAAGCGAAAGCAGAGCTCGTGACGTTTTTTTGTGCTTTCAGGAATGATGGCCTGTTCAGCTGTTCTGGCCACAGTGGGCGACGTTTGTTTCGAGGCCGTTTGCGGTAACAATGGTAAGTCCATGTAAGTCCCACATACCAATCAAAGCATCAGACGAAGTCTTTGAGTGCTGAAGTCATTGGCTTTCAAGATGTCACTGGCAGGGGGGAGAGTTTTCACTGCGGTGAATGGGCAAAATGGTGTCTTGCTTGCAGCAACCAAAGTACAAGTACCTGTGTTAAGTCGTCTGGTCTTGTAGAAAGTTGTCTGGATGATGCGTTTACAATGGGGTTAGATGCAAGATGGAAATAATATAACTGGGAGAGTGTCTGGTCAACATTGTTTGGATGCTGCGTTTACATGCAGGTTAGAGGGAAGGTGACCAAAAAGTGATTTGAAGATAATCGACGTGGGTAGGTGGATACCTAGGTGGATACCTCGACTCGCGCGGCACTCGCGTCAGGTTCGAAAAGACTCGCACGGCACTCGCGCCAGTGTAGCCATGTTTCTGACAAAAAATGTATCAATCTAGCCACACCGCTGACGGTTGGAACCACCACTCATTCAAATCCATTTGAGCCGGGTCAGAGCATGTAGAAAAGATTCGTGTAGTCTAAACCCGGGTGACTAAACCCCAGCGCTTGTATGGATTATGTTGCAGTTTTCGTGTTTTATCGTGATTCCAGAGGGCAGGCGATGCAGGCTGCTAGGTGCGGAGGCTAAATGACAGAGAGCGCTGAAATGTTTGGGGGACTGTCCAAAGAACATGCTTTTGGTTATATATGAGGGGCGTTGCTGCAGGGCAGCTGTAGGTTTGAATCAAATCTGGTGGTGTTCCAATCAAATCCTTAACTCCAACTTTAGTGCAAGCATGCGCTTTCATTCTCACCACTAGTTGATGAACAAACTTCTGCAGTATAGAAGCAAATTTCGTTCCACAAGCCGGACTGCAAGTGTGCAGGTTCCGCATGAGGTTCTGGGCAGGAGGAGGTTCAGCAGGTTCCGGATTGGTTCCCAGCTGGCTCCGGAGCAGGCCCAGAAGCAAGTTGCGGAGCAGGTTCCGGATAAGGTTCCTGTGCAAGCCTAGCAAGTCAGGGGTTCCGGAGGAAGTCAAGGAGCAAGCCTAGTCCTTCACGCCAGCATGCTCCTTGATGTGCACTGTCATGCACAAACATGTTGTGCTGATGTGCTGTCTTTGCTGGCGTGCTAACATGCTGTCATGCTGAGGTGTTGCCACGATTGACATGGTGTCATGAGTCATGTGTGTGCTTGTTGTGGTTCGGACGTGGGGACACGCTAACATGGGTCACGCCGACATATTGTGAGCCTGCCAAGCTCACGTCGTGCTGGCACTCTGACATGGATCGCGCTGCAATGCTGGCACGTTGTCATGCTTATATGCTGGACGTCAGGCCATGCTGTCATACCCTGAGCAGGTTCCCTGGTTCTTGCTTGGGCGATGTCGTGCCCGCACATGTGCATTGCCAACATATTACCGTGCTTGTGATGCTCGTGTGACATATTGAAAAACCCCACATGTTTCAAAACAGCGCTGTTTCGCAAAGACACAACACTTGCTGGTGAGCCTGCGATGCTGTTTTGCCTATGGCCCATTAGGCAGATTCTTGTCCAGCTGCTGGCTTTTCTTCTTGGGCCTATCGCAATAGTCCTCTTGCGCCGTGCCAGCAAAGGACTGCGACGTGTGCGATTTGTGGCTTCATCCTAAACTTTGCGTACGGATGGGGTGGAATGCCATGGGTCTACTGCTCCGAGATGTTCCCGCAGAAGCATCGAACTAAGGAGCGGGGTGCCATATTTTGATGCCTCAACCTTCCCACCGCTATGATATATAGATATTCCAAAAAAAGAGTGTGGAGAAACCCAATCTGTGCAAACCGAAGGGTTTTGTTGTATAGGATTTGTTGACAATACTGAAATGAATGGACCGTGATGGGGGTGTATGCTGGCAGGGTGTGGGTGCTACCACGGACGCGAATTGGGCCGCGCACTAAGCTTTACTGACTTGGTCCAGTTTGGGCATGAGTTTTGCAGGTGACCTGAACCTTGGACATTAATCAGAAAACTAGGGGCAAGGACGCTACTAGGGGCTCCTGGCCTTACTACTAGTAACAAGTGCCTTACTAGTAGTAACAAGAAGCTAGTAGAAACAAGTGCCTTACTACTAGTAACAAAAATAATTTAATCAGAAAAAACATTGATGTGATGTGCCCAGTCATCGAGCCATGTTAGCTGCTTCCTGTACAGGAAATGTAGACTGGGCCAGCATGTCTGGCCAAAGGCTATCAAGGAGGGCTTAGAGTCAGAATGACAGTCAGAGCTGACGCGCTGATTGTCCCCATCAGGTCGGAAACATCCTCATTGCGTTCGTGCCTCCAATCCTCTTTGCGAACTGGGGATTTAACACATTTTGGGTTCTCGTTGGGACAAATGGCCTCGCCCTTTGGTGTGCTTTGTGCCTACCAGAGACCAAGGAGTGATCGTTGCTGTTTCTTGTGAAGGATGTCGTAAAGTTGCCACTTCACGCACAGGGAAACAACGACACTCTGAATGAAAAGCAACCATTGCCATCAGGGCCATCAGTCTCAAACTCTCACCGCCACACTCACTGACAGTGGCAAGTAGTGCATGACCCCCTGGAAGTTTCCAGGACAAAAGTTTGGAGGAGATCACGCTTATGTTCAATGCCTGGTTTAGCTCCAGGCGCAAGTGACTTTCTGAGAATTGTTCCACCCAGCGAGCGTGGGCTGGGTGAACTGCATGTGTACAGGGTGCCAGTTTTGTGCATAGAACGCAGCCAGTGCGATACCATTACTGACTTAGAGGCAAGTCCAGAGGGTGCGCACGGAAGGATATAGTCAAAGGCTCTGAGGCAAAAGTCTTTGTAGCTACTCCCTTCAAGAATGGTTCTTCTCAACGTCTGCCAGACCACCAGACAGTCTGGTGCCAGGAGAAGTGCCAATTTAAAGAATATTTCAAAACGAGATTTGCAGCCGTGGAAGTTCCGCATGCCCCAATTGGGGCTCTGAATTGTTTCAACTTCCTAGCTCGAAAATGGGTGTTGGGTGACGGTGATTCCGCAATATGTGGAAGGCCGGACGGACTTCACATGACTTCACCAATCTTAACATCGGAGGAGTGATTGCAAACGCTTCGTGGCTTGATTTCATACCTTGCAATGGCAGATGGCAAACATTGGGTTCTTGCCCTGACCCATTCTGGGAGGCCATCTTGAGCGCCTCACAGGATATGCTGCGAATCCATCACTGTGATGCTGGGATCTCAGGTTTGATACGTCCAAAATGAAAGGTGTGATGTCGTGTCAACATTGCGCGACAACTCTGGATCTTGGGGAGTGAAACACCCAAAGCAGCTCGAAAATTGAGACAATCTAGGGTAGGGGTTTTCAGCCTTGACAAGAACGGGCAACGGTTTTCATCAGATGTACTGTATACAAAGATTAACATGATGTTGTAGGACAGGATCTTCTCCAGCTTTCAACAGAGGAGGAATTGCAAAAATTGCTCCATGCATCAGCTAGACGACGTATTCATATCGGGGCCAGGCCATCTCCAACACTTCGGATGCCATGGAAGTGGATTGGAGGGGTTTGCAGGATCGGACCACGACAAAGCTGCATGCTGTTTTTGCAGCCACAAGACATTGGCAGAGGGCACATGTGAGCATCAACCTGGAGGGGAAGTTCACATGCTGCAGGACATGCGGATTTGCTATCCTGAAGAGAAACTTCTAGCAATGCTGGCCTGTGTTCTTTTCACCTCACGGTCACGGGAGAAGACTTGAAAGGACTCGCGTCGCCCACGGGAGAACGGGTGCACCTGTGGCATGGACTCAATTTTGCAACACATGCATGTCACATGGCCCGAGTTTTCGGCTGACCAACCTCAATCAAAGATGTATGTTGTGATTTGGCGATGTGGATGCATCGTGATGCATCCTATGCATTGAGCCAGGCGGTCTCAGCAGAAGGCTCCCAGCTTGGTATTTGGGTGGTTCAGAGCTGAGTGGTGCCTCTTCAACAGATTAATGATACCGATCAAATTTTGCAACGAACGAATGGGATTCCTTGTGTGGGTGCCCCGTAGTGCTCCAAGTTTTCAAGTAGTAACAAGTGCCTTACTAGTAGAAACAAGTGCCACGCTAGTAGTAACAGGTGCCTTACTAGTAGTAACAAGTGCCTCACTAAGTCTTCTAGCTCAAAAAGGGGAACTTGATTCACTTCCAAGGCAGACTTGCAACGGAGGGAGGCGAAGATTCCAGTCGGTGGCCCCAACACAACACAGCGATCGCGGTGTTTGACATAGAATGTACAAGACAAGGTGAGGTTTGCCAGGAGGCCCACTTGCCTGAACTTGACAGTTTCTGTTGCTGTAAGTGCATGAGAACTTTGTAGAGGCAATTTAGTTGGGTCCATTGGCAGAAAGCACCAGTGATTGTGAGATCCGTCCAGGAGATTTGCGTGTTTGTCTTCATGCAAGGGTATGGGGCATTGGAAGTCTTGATGGTCATCAAACTCCAAAGGGAGGAATTTGCTTGACGACTTTGAACGGACTCCATGATTGGGTGTTGTTCTTTATTTGGCCTGCAGAGGGGTCTGCTTTAGGTAGTTTTCAACACCACTGGGGCATGTTGAGTGGTTTGCAATTGGCCTATATACTTCAATCGATATTTTTCCTGGTTGGCTTCCAATTCGCGGCTGGGTTGGTCAGGTCAGCCGCAAAGGCCCTTTGGACGGAGCATGAGAGACCGGACTTGTGGGGGTCCAGACGGTGAGGACCAATGATTGAAGTTCTGCTGCAGGTAACATTTCTTTCTGACTGAAAAAAACAACAAAAGGAATGTATGTCTAGTATAATCTAGAAGCTCTGAACAGGCTCTGAACAGATTCAATGGCTGTTTATCAAAGGATTCAATTCAATGGCTCCCTCAGATTATGGACTGATTTTAGGGTGTATCCTGGGCCCTGAAGATTGGGATATACCCAATATTGATTGGGGATTGGGCAGACACAACACGACAGCACGACTTGTCCTGCGGACAAGGTCAGATCTATGCAGATCTTGTAGGCTCCTTTAGAAAAGACCGCGATCTGCATGCGATCTCTCTTCGGCAGGCAGTGGCAGCTTTGCAAATGCCCGTGTGCCACAGGCGGGGTTTTCCACAGGTCTGCCTGCTGGTGCGCTTTAACCAGAAACATGGCACGACCAGCTGACCCACCGACTCAAGTTTCTCTACAAACAGGTGTTGAACTCCACCTGATGATTTCAGGTACTGTAAACATCCCCAACAGACCAACCTGTTGGGTATTTTTGGGTACATAAAGAGAACAGAACCTCAGGTGACTCAGGTGCTACATGAACAGTCATGGAGGACTACGAATCTAAGAATAGCCTTTCATCACAAAGGTTTGACCTGCATTGATTTGAAGGTCATGAGTTTTGGTTGGACTGTTTAGGCAAAGGGACCTACAGGAACAAGTGCATGTTTTCCGCAAGGAGTCATTTCTCAAACCTTGTTTTGATCCCTAGATTATCCACATTGGCTCACCCGGGCGGCATTGTCCACCCACCCGTTGATCCATTGAGAGGCTCCCTGGCCAGAGGAGGCGGCATTTGGAGAACGACTGTCATTGATGGTATACGTTCATCAACTTTCTGTCCTTTAGTATAAGTTGAAGTAAGGTGACACTTTAGAATTTGGACAGGATTCTTATAGAAGAACTGTTGCTTGAGGCCTCTGCTCGGCGGGAGAACCCTTTGAACCAGCTCCAATGTGCTCTCATTTGATCTCACTTCAGATCATTTGCAGCATTCCACTTTCATTCCTAGGATATAAGCAGAGAAGTGCAAGCAGTGCAATTAAGTGTTATTCGAGTGACGGGCTCAAGTTTGGATTTAGATTTTCTTTCCCGCTCAACTTCCGAATTGGGGTCAGAAAGCCCCAAGGCCAACCAGGAACCAGGGACACAAATTTGTTACTCAGCCAGAGCTTGTCACACAAATTGTCTCAGGAATCCCAGCCAGAGCTTGCAGCAGGAAGCGCAGGGACCCTAGACATGTGAGCTATGGGTAGCCGCTACGATATGCAAAGGGCACTTGTGTGCACACTTGTGGGAAGAAACGTTCACAGTACTTTCATTTCACAATACTTTCACAAAAGTGAACTCCCATCCTTGCAAGCATGCAAACATGCAAGCGCACAAATAATGTTGGGAATAAGAAAAGAACTCTTATGGGCAAGTGCTTGCAACTAGATGGAGCTGAAGAAGACTCCCGAGGGCCAACCATTCGAGACAGAGAGTCCTAGGCTCTACCGTAAGCTCTGCCCTCTGCTGTGAATCAGAATCAGACCACAGAAGTTTTTGTTGATCCGTTTCCTATATAATTACTTCTTCTCATTTGGTTGATTCATTTCCCAGGATCCTATATTCTTTCCTTTTCCTATATTCTTCGTGCTTTTGGTTGCTCTTCCCATCATTTCTTCGAGTGTTCACCCACCGAGTGGCTCTGCAAAAGCCGAAGTCAAGGAACGACCGAGCACGGAGCGGCCAGAGCACGAGCGCGTTCGGTCCGAAGGCGCAGATGTTTTCGAATTTGGAACACGCTTTCGGAAGGTTTGGAAGGACGCTACTAGGGGCGCTCCTGGCCTTACTACTATGAGCAATGTTCGCTACTAGGAGCAAAGGGCATCGCTACTAGGAGCAAAGGACGCTACTAGTAACATGTGCATTTCTATTACAGTAGTAACAAGAAGCTAAACAGAAACAGGATCCATATTGGTTGCTAGTTAAGAAGAACAATTCCATATTTTGACACATTTCAGTTTTACCTGTATAAAGCAACAACCACCTAGTGTTGACATGCCAGGCGATTTGGATGAACCACCTCGGAGACCCGTGCGCGCTGAGAGGCAGGCTGCAGTGACAGAGATACCGCTGCCATGTTTGGACGTCCCTCCGATGTTTGGACTTGGAGGGACGTTTGGGGCTTGACTGTGACCTTTAGACCTTGGGATTCTGGCGATGTTGCCTACCTAGCTTTGCCATTATTCGGCCACCGTCAAAGCCGACGAAAACATCCAGACTATGATATACTGCTGGGATCAAAGGCATTTTCCTGGAATGTTCTAGATCAAGAACGCCTTGCATCCCTCAACGAACAAACAGAACTGGGTGCACTCCGGACCCAAAACCACAGGAGTTATGTTTCTTTCTGAGTTTGAGGTTATGATTGTGTTTGAGTATTGTGGTTTTTGCCTTCATTTCCTTCACTTCACTTCATTTGTCATTTCTTTGTTGAGTTGTTGGCAGTCGGTGTGGTTCCTGGATCACAGTGTGCTTCGAAGTTCAACGCCACGGCAGCAACCAGTGGAATCTTATTGATTTTGATGCAGATCTACTGTGTAGCAACTGTGGCGCACTTTCGTTGGAATCGATTCATCTCGATTTTTTGTGGTGAGGCCTACAAGCCCCAGGTCGCCACAGGTGGCTGGACATGAGAAGGGGTCGTTCAAAAAGCTTGGAATTGACTTCTGGAACCACTTCAATGAGCTTTCTGGATGCCTAGCCGCTGACTCGCTGATTTGTGACTTGCTCACTCACTGTCAGTCCGACGGTTCTGGTGTGACGGTGTTCCTTGCTGTTTCTGTAGGCCAAATCCCAATCATACAGCTACAATGGCCATGACCCCAGCAAAAGGCTGTTCTGGGAAGGGATAAGATTGACAAGAAGGAAGACAGACATCATAAATACATAATATATGTATCCACATAGAGTGAGAGCAGAAAGGCAAACATGTGCTTCGGCCAAGCAGGTTTCCGTGTTTGCAGCCGCAGTCTGTACCCCAGCTCCAAGGTGCAGTGAACCCAGCTCACCCAACGCATCCGCCAGCTCCGGCGCAAGCAGCGCAAGTGCCATCTGTGACACCTGCGAGCCGGGCAAACCTGCCAGCTCCAACATCTGGGCCCAACACGCCCACAGCAGCTTCACGACCGGCCGCAGGGCCGCTTCCATCCGCAGCGCTTGGCGCCGCCCACAGTGGTCCCACTTCGAGTGGTCCGAGCGGCTCACGACCGCCTTCAGGATCACTGTCATCTGCAGCAGCTCCCAATACGCCCACAGCTGCGACGCGTTTGGCGCCTGCTCCGACCATGGCACCTGCTCCAGCAGCGCCTTCAGCGCCTTCACTGGCAGTGGCCGCGTTTGGAGAAATGCCCCCTGTCCGGACCGCGTTTGCGCCAGCTTTCTTGTGATGAATTCCTTGAGTTATTTTCTGTTGGATTTGACAGTTCCTTGGTCACGCCATCTAATGCTCAAGGTGGAGCTTTTGAAGGAAAAGCAGCCTGTCGGATATCCAATTCCAGCCATTTGTCGCCTAGTCTATTTCAAAGATGGATTCTTGACTCGTGTGTCCTGCAGGACAGATTTGGATACCATTGCTGCGCAGCACCCCCAGATGATGGACGTGCTGCGGCGGAGATTTGCCAGATTCCTAGAAGTCGTATGAAAGATATCAAAGGGAAGAGACACATATCTCACATATCACATGAACATGTAGACTCTTGATTAATAAACCTCCCGTTTGGATTGTAAAACATTGCAAAAACCTCTTCAAATGGGCGTTCTATTATAGGTTTCATGAATCAAGAGTCCACAGTACATCATCTGAGGAGCAGACGCAACGGCTGAAAGAGCTTTGGGCCACTTGGAGAGATTGGTGTAGCTTATGGGCCTAGACGAATGGCGGACCTGTCAGGCTTCAAGACAACCACAACCGATGTCTGAGAAACAAGGATTTGGACAAGGTATGTGAGCAATTTCCAGAAGAGGTCTGTGAGCAATCCTTTCTATTTGTCCGTCAGATCGCTTTCTGACCCAAGCGATCTCAAGAGGTTTTCGTTCAACTTTCCTCTTCACAGTCACAAAAACTATCCACCCAAGAAATCCCAAAGCTAAACCATGCTAAACCCTCCAGTTTCTGATGGTTTCTGAGATTCCCTGACTGAATCCTGCTGCTGAGGCTCAAGGGGACTTGGCCGGCATCAGCGGCATTCTCACCATGCCTCAGGCAGAATGGGAGTCCTCTCAGAATGAACACGTAGTGCTGTGGCACCGTTTGGTGGAGGCCCGCAGTTTCTAGAGGACACTGGGTCTTCCATGGATCTGCTTCCACTTCATTTCTTGGGAGGCCAGGAGTTTTCTTATTCACCCTTCGCACGGACGGCGCATCTATATCAAATCCTAGGGCGGCCAGGAACAGTGTGAAGATATGGGTTTGTGTCAAGATATATTTTAAGACCTACTAGTAGCTTCTTGTTACTAGTAGCTACTTGCTCCTAGTAGTACGGCCAGGAGCCCCTAGTAGCGTCCTTGCTCCTAGTAGCGAACCTTATATATATATATATTATATATAGGGGGTTCCAGAGGGCCTCCCCGGAGAGATGGGCCCCCACTGGGAGAAGCAAATGGTTGCCACATGAGTGTTGAGATGAAATCAAGGGCTGGTTGCCTCTGCTTAGGACCAGGCGGTGCTTTGTGATCTGGCGCGGTCATTGATGCCGGGTGTCCTAGCCTACACAAAGACGTATTCACGAGACTGAGTCCAAATCTGATTAAACAAGCAAGGGCCGCCTTTTTATCAAACAGTTTTAGGAGGTTTTGGACCAGCATCTTGCAAACATTTCTGTGTGTTCAAAGATCACGACCAAGGGACAACCTCACAGTCAGGTATCTGGCGGAAAGTTGAAAGTCTTATATTAATTCTTCTGACATTCTTCTGGTTAACAAGTATATCAAAGAGGATGACTGTCCTGCAATCTGGTTTACTTGTGGATGGTCAGATGGGGAGTAAGACGTGAAGACTTCACGCACTCATGTCATTCAGTACTAGAAGTGAGATTTGGAACACAAGATGATGCCAGGAAGGGCTTGGGCTCAGAGCTGAACTTGGATGCGCCTTGGCCAGATCCAGACATCCAGGCTTCATGAGGGCTTAAGGGTCAGGCAGTGTGTTTGCAAGATTTTCCTAGTTTTGATATCCTCAAAGACACCACGGGCCCACTGGAAGTAAATGGTGTGAGGGAGGTCCTACAGTTCCATAGCAGCATGGAATGACACTTCCACTTCAAGAAGTGCCCACCATCAGTTGCGCAGCTTGGAGACCACTTGGGACTACTAAGCTCACACATTTAGCAGCCACAGCATGGAACTACCTGGGGGTCCGCTGGGTCAAGTGGAACAAACTGAGGCTTGCTCTGCATTTCTGCCACTGCTCAAGGCGGTGTCACGGCCGTGTCAGTGGTCACTGTTCCCTACAAGTTGAGGGCTATGTAAGCATAACTGTCTCGAAAAAGGCAAGGTTTTTGCTATCATACAGGATATATAGAGTGAGCCACGTGACACATTCCCTGGGCGGGTCAGTCCGCTGCTTTCTTCTCCAAGGCTTGATTGGGTAGGAGAGATTGGAGCGTTCAGGAGCTCTTGCTCACCAGCAAGTACGAGGACTTCATTGCTGGGCAGCCAAGCCTTTTGACGAAAGAAACAAGACAGATTGAGAGTGTGAAAGTGACTACTTTTCCCAGTATTTTGCACACCCAACAGTGAATGTGAGTCTTGAAGCAGAGATTTACCCACAATTTTTCCAGCAAGGATCTCAAGCTCGCTCTTGCACTCCCCCCTTCCCCTGAAAATGACCAAACATGGAACCCCTGAAGGCTCTTCTTGACCGGGTTTGGTGCTGGATTGGGAGCATGACTTGACGGACCGCACAGACCAGGCCACAGCTTTGGAGTTCACGCAGCTGCTGCTGGAAGAGTTTGGGCATCTCATTGGGGAGCCCAAGACTTGGAGAGAGAGAGAGAGAGAGTGAGAGAGAGAGAGAGAGACAGAGACAGAGATAGAGAGAAGGAGATGGAGATGGTGAGGGAGAGGGATTTGGGCATGTCTCGAGTTTTGTAGGGACCCTACGACACTTCGCGACACTTGCCGACATATTCAAGTGTTTTCGCTTGCATACTTTTTTCTTGGGAATAGCCGGGATAGCTATGGATAGCTGAAGGCTGAAGCCCGGTTTGGAGTCAACGACTTGGAACTCCTTCTATTGACAAGAGATTGAATCAAGTTTGGATCTCCACTTCGATCACTTTTGACTCTCCGTTTCTTTGAGAGTTGAGGACCCGTGAGAGCTGCTCGAAAATCCCAGAGTCGGGAGGCCTCAGGAAAGCCATGGGTGCATTGGTTGGATAGAACAAAAGGTGAAAGTCACCGCAACATCAGCAACATCGAAATTTTCCTATTTGTCCAGCAGTATTCATCAGCTCGGAGGGATTTGAGATTTTCTCCCACTTGGACGGGCCTTCTATGCTTAGGCGGCAGCTGGACCTTGCTCGGGAACAACGCTTCCGGAAGTGCAATGCGTGCTTGGCCGAGAATCCGAAAGCAGCAACTTTTTCCTTTTTGATCTTAGTCTGGTGGCAAAACGTGCTCTTGGCTTCACCTTCAATACCTCGAGGTGAAGGACGTACCCCCATTGGTCATGTTTTCGACCTTTTCATGGCTCTTCAGGTGGAATGCAAATCACACACACACACACTTGATTTAATCTCACATGTCTGGTTTTGGACGCGGCCAAGGTGTTACGAGAACTTCAAAGAAATCCACCGACTCCTCGTAGCAGGCGAGTTCTCGAACCACCTGGTGCGGGCGAGTTTCTCCAAAAAACGTAAGTGTTTTTCTTTAAATCGCTGGAAGTCAGAGTCACGGGCATGAGCGCCTTTTGCCACCGGTCACCGTGAGGCCAAAACAGCAGTCGCTTCAGCAAGTTATGCAGCAACCTGGAGGCACCCCTAGCCAATGCGGGTCACATGCGTTTGTCGGGCACCAACGGTGGGCTTTCTGAAAAGTGTCAGAAAATGAACGTCACACACACTGTTGGTGAAGCTCATGAAGTGTCCACCTCCGATTTGAGTTTCCCACGTGGGTTCAGGCCTTCCTTCGGCGCGGTGAGCGGCTAGGGCCCTGAAACTCCGGAATCTCGAAGAGTTCCCCGGCTCAACAAGAGGAAGAAAAGCCGACATCCCTGGTTCATTTGGTTCACTTTGGGGGGGTCTACCAGGAATGGAGTCAATAGACACGCCCTTTGTCTCACGTGCAAATCTACTTTCCAAATCACAAAGGATGCAAGGGGAAACGTTCATTGTTTCACTTGCGAGGTGGATAAGTTTCAAAGCTTTGTGCTGGAAATACACAGTAGAATCATAGCTTCTGCCATTGTAGTTGTGTGGTGACATGATTGCCAATTTGCGAGATTCCAAGTAACTTGAGGGCCCACTACTGAGGTACCACTTTCCAAACAGGTCAACATGGTCCTTCATTTGTGTTCCTTCATGATTTATGATGTGTTTTGACGTCTTCATCACTCGAATGCAGATGCCACGACTTCTGGATTCTGGGCGCTGTTTGTGGGATCGAGCAAGTGGAGGGAGCAAAAGATCTCCCGTGAATCCACTGCTGCTGTGCATGTGCCTGCTGCCTTCCTGCAGCATTCGTGCACAGAAATGGGCTGCAAGTTGCAAGCATGGACTCGTGTACTCTTTGCCGCTTGTTTGTCAGGACTACTTTTGCTCGCACTAATGAGTGGTTCCTAGATTTTTGGGAAACCTAAAGCGATGACACTGAGAAGAGCTTGGTCCCAAATTCTCCCGGTCACATGATGCTGAAGGCATAATGCTGAAGGATGCTGAAGGCATGGTTAATTTCTACACTCCTGACTGTCTATCAAGTACAAGCGTGCTTTTGTGTCAACTGATCATTTTCACAGCTAGATAAGATACGCAGATCGCGTCATTTACACGCGTAACCCGTTCTGGCTCTTCTCCTCAAGCACAACAGTGCTGACCAGCTTTAGTTCCAATGTCGCAGATAGGAGAAAACAGCCAAGCGTCGCAGCGTCGCGTCACCATTTGGGAATGCAACAAATCACAACGACATTCGATCAGGATGGGGCATGGATATTGAACTGCGTTTGAAACCGCTCCCAACAAGCAGCTCTTCGACGTGAACAATTCCAGTTGGGCGGCTTTGAGCTCATTTGCTCCACCGGCCATGGCGATGTGTGCTGCACTTGGGATCCAGTTGGGAGTGCTGGTGTTCAGTTGGAAATCCTAAGGTCAAGTCATGGGCTACAGCGGCTACGGAACGCCAGTGAGGCGTGCCCAAGGTGTAAAGCAGGCAAGAATGAAGAAGTTCTTAATCCTCAGCTCTTGCCACCAGCTAGGAGGCCGAGTCGGACCTAGCAGAGCACCAAGTGTGTGTTTTTCAGAGCACAATGAACATGTTCAAAGCATCTCTCATTCGGCTTGGGCATGTATAAAAAGCACAAGATGCGCTGCTTGTGGGCAGATGTATGCTGCAGATGTGTTTATGGGTAGATCATGCCACTTGATACAGGGTTCTTGGTATGGTCAGTCTGCAAATGTTATTTGTCGACAAGATGCAGGCAATCCACTATGCCGACCATGCCGCAGGCTGCCACGGTGAGCAGGTAGGGGCCAAGTTGTGGTTGATTCGCCGCACACAGTGGGAAGCGCTTGCATGCTGTTTTTTTGCTTCCGGAACGTCGATAGTTAGCTTTTTAAGTACAATTTGCCAGCGACCACACAAACCTTGCACTCTCCTGGCTAGTACCAGCGAAGTGGCTACAAGGGTCGTGGCATCGTGGCACTACTGCAAGTGGCATCATGACTACCTACTAGTGATGGCCTCCAACCTAGAAGCGTCTTTCGTTGATGACTGAACATGGGGTGGTTGTTCTGTGGCATAGTTCACTCCACGTCTCTTTGGCCCAGTTTGCAGAGTGTGCCTGGAGTACCTCCGGTACAACTGGCGTCCGGCGGCCGAGTTCTTCTCTCCGCACCGGTGGCCATTTCAGAGCTCCGAGCTCGGAGCGGCGACAGCTCAGGCCATTTCCAAGTGGATGCTTGGAGGCTGGACCCCTGGGCTGGATGCTTTCCTGGCAGCTGATCAGCATCGCACTTTGAGCTTGGGAGAAAGCAGAATAAAGCAGATAGGCAAGAGCTGGCTGCTTCAGAAGCAGCTCCAGAGCGAACACATGGAGTCCAAACAAGCATCTCCGATTCCGCACCTGAAGACTGGCGCTAAAACGCGCCTCCAGGCCACCAGATCTTTCAGCCTGGATCTCAATGGATTTTCACCCCCTAGTAGGCAACCTCTCTGGTGACTGCCAACTCCGATTTGCTGTAACAAAACTCTGCTTGCGCGCTACATATGATCTTGAATACGCTTTTGATCGCTTTTGTATTTTTTTCAACTAGACCCCTTTTGACCAATATTTTGTGGCGCTAACACTAGCACCACTCCCAGTGGTTGCTCATTGCTACAATCAGTTGGCCACCTCAGGCGCTGATTTTATGAGCCTCAACCCAATCTCCATATCAGGCCCTCGAGCAGCTCCTGCTCCTATGGGTGCTCGCCAGGTGCTCTTCAATGGTTTGCACCAAAGATGCTTCTCCCCAAGCTTGTCCGAACCAAATGGTTGTTTGCAATACACTTTCAATGTTCAGACTGTTGTGGTTTTGAGAATGCTTTCTCATTCTCGAGCCTCTATGTTTCCTTTCGATGCAGCGTGGATTCCAAGGACTATCCTGAAAACGCTGTCTTGATTCTTGATGCTTTAGCTTGACCACTGAACGTGTTTTACCTGGCAAATCTGTGAACGTGACACCGGAAGCCAAATTTCAGCTTTCCACTGTCATGGGATCTCGACTTGATGTGCAGGTGATGCAGATGCCAGTGAGGCAATGCTCTACCGCAAGCTTAGGCAGCGGCAAGGCCACGCCAAACTTGAGTGGAGTTGTTGAAACATACTTAGCGTTGTAATACGTTATATATATATATATCTATAAGATGCTTTTGTCATCTATTGTCGAAGCCCTGGTCTTATGGGTGTGGCTACCCAAGCAAACAATAAGAATCGGACCGTTGAAGATCGCAGAATGTTGTTCAAAACAAATCCTAATCTTAGCATTTTATACAAAAAATACAATAAACTTGTAATAAAAAAGAACAACATCCATAAATATAAATATAGCTTCTTGGATCTCTCAGCGGTCACTTCTTCTGAAGACCTGCCACACCGCGTTGGCGTGTAGGTCACAGGCCCCAACACGCCAATCCACACGGGTCGAGGTTTGCGACCGGCAGTGGGGAGACTCAGTAAGAAAGGAACAAGGGAGGAAAACAAGGTAAGCAAGAGCGATAGCCTCCAACCTAAGAGCGAGTAAGGTAAGGCATCCTTCAACTTAGGTCCTTCTTATTCAAGAGGCCTGCAGCGGCCCAAAAGCCTGCCTTTTTTCCGGTGTCATGGATGATCCCGACAAAGAAGCTTCGTTGGTTGTCCGATCTCAGAGGGGACCTGATGGGATGCTCACTGCAAATTCAGGATTCTGTAGCGTCCTTGCTCCTAGTAGCGATGCCAGGAGCCCCTAGTGGCTTCTTGTTCCTAGTAGGCCAGGAGCCCCTAGTAGCGTCCTTTGCACCTTACCTCGGGATTTCTGGAAAAATACGATTCTTAGCTCATCCGAACTGTCTCCCAGGGGGTCGCGCCGCCTCCAGCACCACCTTTGTTGGCTGCACAGGTGCCGGACGATCCACGATCCGCACGCCGATTCTCCATTCGTTAGAAGATTTTAGAAGCTGAGAGATGAAACAGTCTCCCTATTTAAGAGGTCAATCTTTTTTGCCTTCATTGTTCGATTTCTTAGCTTTAGGCTACTTGGAGGTAGCTGCGTTTGTAAGGCCCTGGAGATTGACCACCTGAAAAAGGAGCTCGAGGACGGGCAGTCGGACGAGAGTCTTTTGACGTTCTGAGGATGGCAGCTTTTGGATGCTTTTGGAGGGAAGAATTCGGAAGGATGGCAGGCATCGTTTGTGACATTTCCAGCAAGCCGAAGTTTTCTTTTGCCAGGGTAGGCCGCTAGAAGAGGACAAAGAGGTAGCTATAGCTAGTAGCCATTCAGTAGGACGCTTCGTCTAGGTAGGACGCAGAATCGCAGGATGGCTCATGCTTCTTCAAGGAAGCTCTCCCCACCTGAGGGCGGGGGGGAGCTTCCTTGAAGAAGCGCTCGCATTAATGATTGGGGTCCTAAATTTTTAGGGAATCTTTGCATGTCACGCTCTGTCCAGGAGTCGCGATCCAATGAAAGGCGCTTGCAAGAGGAGCTGGAGGCACGACAAGACCCAACAGGACAAGCATTGAAATGCATAGCCAATCATGATGTGCAACAAGAACAATTTCTCTGAAAGAAGGTGCAAGCTTTGGAACACCTGCCAAGGAAACATTCCTTCACTTTAAAACCCGTCATGTAAAATATATAGGAGTAAACAAAGACACACACACAGTTAATTTACGTCCAAAGCTTTTTGCACCAGCCGGCCATGCACGGAATCCAGCAACTGACAGAGAGAGAAACGTAGAGACACCCACAGAGCCAATCGATGGTGCTGCTATTGTTCTTCACTTTGAGCTTGTTAGCTCATGAACCTCCATGGAGCTTGTCCAGCACGCGTAGAAGGGGTGCGAGCAAATGGCCTAGACTCAGCAAAAAGGTACCGTGCAGAAAACGCGACAAACAAACCACCGAAAAAAGGTGGATTTTGGAGTCACAAAAGGGCTGACTCCAGATTTTAGCCTTCTCAAGCCCTTGTCCTAGAAGCGTTTTGTCTAGCGCATATCGAGATTCAAGCTATTTGGTTGGGCTGCCTCACATGTCCACAACTGTCCGATTGGTTTCCATCTGGATTTAACCAGTCGACAATGCGTCCACACAAATAGCTGAAATCTGAATGTGAGCTGCCATGTGCACCTACCATAGTCATACTACATCTAGAGTTCATGCCATAGAGCAGCAAACTTAACATAGCCAAGCTCCAAAGTTACAACAACTCATTGCTGTCACAGACCCACTCTGAAGTCAAGCCCCTGAGTACTCAACCTCACAAGCAATAAAGACAAAATCCAGATTACGACTCTTGCAAGAACCTGGCAGAGGAAAGGAAGGGCCGAACCTAGATTTTATCAGACGAAGGTGCAACACCGGCAAGTCCGAATGGCTGGAATCTGGAGTTAAGCTATCAATTTTTAAAGCCAAATTCTGAAAAAAAGGAACAGACACAGATTCAATAATCTGTGGCGGTACAGTATATCATCCATGCCAAAAGCAGCTTCAGCCCAAGCGGCTTGTTTTGGAGGCAGCCAAGGCCGAGGTCCAGCGCCTAGCAGAGGCCTTGGAGCAGGAGAGCCACCGATAATAACAATTAACGTGGAGTCAGAGTCCATACAAAAAGACAACATGCTTTATATAACCCACAGACCCCCTGAAACAGGAAGCCAATGCGAAGACTCTCCGAAATATAATTTAAGCAATTTTGACAACTATTATGAATATAACATTAAATGCCGATCATTTTCTCACTTGGTCGAAGAACTCCATCGCCAGTCGCGGGGGCAAGGGATATGATAGGATCGGGTGTTGGGGCGGTTGGGGGGTTTGTCCCTACCTCCTGTGTTTGCTCTCGATCGGATGGTGTTCTGGATCTCAAATGTCCGTCAACAGTGCTGCTGGTAATTCTGCAAGGTTTTGTTCGGAGCTCTCCATGTTTTCATCGCCTTTTCGTGCTGCGGCTGAGCGCTGAAAGAACAACGACCTCCTTGGCGTTTCAGGCAAACAAGACCAACTGATCTCAGGCTGACCCCCAAGACTCCAGAAAACTCCACCCAGGTCACGGACTGATCGCTTCCGTCGTCGACTCGTCGACTCAACGGTTGACAGTGCGTCAGACTTCGTAGGAAGCTCCTTGGCATTACTACTAGGAACAAGGACGCTACTAGTAACAAAGGGCATTTCTATTAGGAGCAAGGGCGCTAGGGCGTGCCAGACTTCTGGATGAAACAAAACAGTGGAGCACCACTACACAGAAACTACAGACCCACATGAGTGGATAATTACGCATGATGGACACGTCTTTCGCTATTGATACCGGAGAGTATGAGAAATACCACCAGAATCATGGGACTAGGCCTTGAGGATCCACATTGATGACATATCCTGAGAATTCCTGGACACGGTTCGGTGGGAGTCAAGGACCAAACCTCAGGTTCGCTGAGTTCGATGCAACGACTTTTGGGGCCTGAACTGACGTTCAACCAGAGGGGGGTTCGATGCTTAGACGTTCATCGCTCGAACAGGAGAAACAACTCCGAATGGAAATGGATGTGCCGCGTGAGGCTGGTGCTTTCATGAGCCGCGATGCCCTTTGCTCCTAGTAAGTAGCGAACATTGCTCCTACTAGTAAGGCCAGGAGCCCCTAGTTGCGTCCTTGCTCCTAGTAGTAATGCCAGGAACCCCTAGTAGCTTCTTGCTACTACTTTTGGTGATTTTTGGTTCGGCTTTGGAGGATTTGGACGTACGCATTGGTGCGCCTAGGGAAGTCGACGCACTACACTTTTTCGATTGTGTGTTCTACAGGTGTTCTACATTTTATGTTTCCGCATCGACTGTGGCACCAACCTCCATCTCCCCAAGCTCGATCAACATCATGAAACCTCTCATATCACCACATTGACATTTGTGCTTGTTTGGTGAATGATAATATAGAAACACTGTGCACTCAGTGCACTCCAAAAAGCCTTTTGCCATCAAACTGTGCAGCTTGATGACAGCCATGACATCGAGAGAAGACCAGCCTCCTACCCAAAAAAAGGTTGCAATCCATTTGTCTGACGCTCGAAGTGTCAGACATGTCGATGGTTGACCTACCAAATCAAGGTCCCGAAGGCCACGAAAGGAGGAGAGTCTGGGCAGCCCAGTGCCCTAAGGGTGAGCGAAGGAATCGGATAGATTTGTTCACGTCCTTTCCTGCAACTGGCATTTGCAACAAAAAGAATCGTAATGTGTCCGTTTCGATTACAATTGTTGTCCTTCCCGCCAACCTGTGAAAGTTAAAAACGGCAACGTTGTGATCCTGATGTTGACTTGCATTCCACAAAGCAGTTTGTTTGACACAACATACATATTACTTGATTTGGCAATCGTTGTGATTTCCATTGAGGCCAGTTCGCATGAAGTCAGCCTGTGGCCTCAGCACCTGAACAATGCTGAACCAAAGTTGCATCCTTGGGCAAAAGCAAACCAAAAGGACACATATCCCTTGCGAAGCGGAGTGGTTTGTGCTGGATTCCTGGGCGGCAGAGTATCCAAAAGCTATTCATCCAGACGCCTTCATCAGGTGATGCAACACCGAAACCTGTCAGAATCAACATAATTCCTAATTATCGCTTCCTCATTCCTCCCCCCAAAACACATGTCCTTCCTTGGAACAGCCTTTCTTCTTTGGTTTTGAGGATTCCTTGAAGCGGCGTGTGGCCGAGCATCTCGAATCAGAGCCGGACATCTTGAAAGCTCCGTGCGACTGGCCAAGTTGCGGAAGGAGTCACTCAGGGAGCTTGGTTTGGAAAACAAAGAATCTTAGAAGCTTGCAAAACAGGATAGGTTTCTCCTCCAACATCGGCGAAGCATTTTGTATAAACATGTATAAACTATAATGTAATATATAATAAGCATCTTAGTCTCTGATGATCCTGTGTCCGTCAGTCCGTCCATTTCGGCGCAAGATGGTGCAACTGCGTTTCCGTCGATCAAAAGGTTCAGAGGCGTTAGAAAGAACGGAGAACGAAGGCCTTTAAATGGAGAACGGAGATATCCCGGCCGCACCTCGCTGAACCACTGTCTTCTTTGGTCCAGCTATGAGCCAGAAAGAGCATTCTACCTGGACCCTGTTTTTGGAATTTGATTGGTGTGTCAGCTGGCCTTTAGTGGCCGGAAATAATTGAGCCTTTGGCCCAAAATACAGCGACGGCGGCAAAATGTCGATGCCGTTCTCTGAGATGGGTTTCAGCAGCTCATTGATCTTCAGTGCATTGACTTGAAACTGAATTTCCCAAACGAAAGCTACTCGTAACAAAGGGCATGGACGCCACTAGTAACAAAGGGCATTTCTATTAGGAGCAAGGATGCTAGGGCGTGCCAGACTTCTGGATGAAACAAAACAGTGGAGCACCACTACACAGAAACTACAGACCCACATGAGTGGATACGCATGATGGACACGTCTTTCGCTATTGATACCAGTCTTCTCCTGCCCTCTCTGCGTCCGCTCTTCAGCGTCCTTGCACCCTAGTGGCTTCTTGTTCTTAGTAAGGCCAGGAGCCCTGTTCGTAGCGTCTTTGCTCCTAGTAGCGATGCCAGGAGCCCCTAGTGGCTTCTTGTTCCTAGTAGTAAGGCACTTAGCACAGCAGATTATCTCAGCTCAGAGACTCCCCCGACAGGCCTTCACCCGAAGGTCAGAAAAAACCAGACCTTGGAATGTCTGGCAGGCTGAGCCAGCGAGCAGGTTTGAAGCGAGGAGCCTCCGAGAAGAAAAGCGACACCGACGACGCCAACATGTCAACACACATATTGTTGCACAAGTTTCAGTCACCCATTTCCCGTTTTTGTTGAAGTTGTGCACTTGATCTACAGTACCTATATCCCAGGCTTGTATACCTTTGTTGATGGGTCCAGTCCAAAGCTTTGTCTTCACCCGAGAGTCTAGAGTGGTCGAGCCAAGCAAACCACTGTAGGAATGTCTCCCATCATCCGACGGCCAAGCAGAGACGAGGCTCCAGATCGGGGTTCGAGTAGTTTGTCAGTGTTTGTCGTACAGACCGTCATCAAGCATGCAGGCAACTCTGTCAAATTCATTGAGCTGATTTGGAACAACTGCCGACTTGGGAAGTTAGGTGGAAGAGAAGCTCAGCGAATATTTGGCGACATCACCACATTGCAAGTTGGAGTTCTGTCGGTGTGGTGGCCCAAAAGATGGGGTTTGGGAAACATGTACATGTGGTCACGTTTTACACTTGCAATTGTATCATTCGTTACGGTATGACTTTGTATGATATACTTTATTTCCGTTTGTACCCTCTTTATTTACATGTATGTGTCAGGATTGTCCATAGGGTGCAGTGTGATGTAGGAGATGGTGTTGGAGTTGACGTTTCACACTGTTAATCAGATTGGGTTTGCTCATGTTTGCTCGCAACAGAGCCGCCGAAGCCATTTCCGGACCGATTCGGGACTGCTAAGGTGGTGATTGTTTTCCCAAGTTGTAAAGTCAGATGACACAAGCCTTGCAGGTCAGTAGAAGATTTGACTATGACCTAGGATCAGGGACTCGCTCAGAGCCATGAAGCGTGCCTTTAGCTTGATCAGTGACAACATTGACGACACTTCTGACATTTGCTGCTCCACGTGGGTTGTGACATGACTTCTCACACCCCCAGCTCCCCATGGAATGGCACCTGCTTTTTGAACAGGAAGTGAACCATGAGTTGCAACATGAGCTATCATGAGCTATCATCTGCAGTGTCTGTGTGGACATGCCCACTTTGCATCCACACACAAAGAGGCTGCAAATGGGAATAAGATATACTTTACTTTGAGTTCTTAACATGAAGGTGGGTAAGGGTAGAGGGTTTCTGAACACTGCATGTCTCTCATAGACTCTTTTCTTGACCTGGGGGTGCCCAGTGAATCTGCGACCTCATAGAACTAAGGTTGAACCAGGGCTGGCTGCACGGGCCTGTTTGCTGCAAAGCTCAGGGAAAGAGTCAAAAGACTCAGGAAATTGCACTCCGTTGCTTAATCTGGAGACTGGAGACAATCAAACTGGAGTTTGGGGAGGGCTCTTTGGACTGTACACAGATCGTACACCACCTCTAAATCATCGAGTCTCAATCACTTTCGCGTCCGTGTTTCATATTATGGGTGACCATGTGTGCATTGCATTTGTCTAACTGGGGTAGACACGCTAAGCAAAGTGCATGTTCTTTTGGGCCTCACCATTTTGGGACACCACATGCACACAAAGCTGCCGCACAGGTACCAGTATCGGCATGCTACTGACAGCTCTGTGCCACAGAAGTGCATTGAGGAGGGGAGATTGGAATGCAATACTCAGATGTGTGAGAGACCTTAGGGCTGATCAACATCAGTCCGTTTGGTAGGTGGCGATTGGTGCTTTGAACGTAATTTGTGCATGCCATCCATAGTTGCTTGCAGTGAGCAAGATGAAGGTGAGGCCATAGTAGGATCATTTCATGAGATTTCGACTTGCCCAATGTGATTGTCCAAGAGACAGTATGAGTTTTGGCGCAGTCTGATCAATTTTCTGGAACCAATCGAAAATGACATGCAAGGGGGCGCTTCAACGACCACATTTGACTGCAAGAATATGTCAGTTCCACTGCCAGTTTGCCTTCACAAAGGATGTTTGCAATTGCCGATTTGTTCGAAGTGCACTTGTCTATAATACAGGAAACCGCGCAAAAAAAAAACCAGTCTGGAACAAGACCGAACCAACAAACATCCATGATGCAAGGAGTCCAAGGTCAACCCGTCCCCCTGAATTGTCGCAGATGTCCGTGGTCAATGGCAAGCTGATGGTGAAGCTGGAGCCGACCTCTCACGACCGCGGCTGGTTGGAGACCAAGTATGATTTTTCCTCAAAAGAAATACGAAGAAACGAAGGACGCTTCTAGGTTGGAGGCCAAAAGCAAGAATAAGAAGCCTTTTGAGGCGCCTTGAAGGAGGGCCTTATTTGAGGGGCCAGGTCCACCTTCTTTTCTGCTCTTTTCGTTGGAGGGTAGTGACATCACGCGGGACTGGTAGTTAGGCAGCGCAGTTATTTTCTTTTGCTGCAGTCATGAACATGGGCCTGGGTAAACCGTTTCCAATGCGACACCTCAAAGAGACAAACACCAGAGACCTGCTCCATACAAGTGGGTGACGTTGAAGATTTTGTTTTGGCTCTCAAGTTGATTTGCAAAGGTGCACTGGAAGGCATTTTTGAAATGAGGCTCCGGCCTCTTCAACATCCAAATTTCACAGGTGGAAACAACTTCTTAGATACACCCCTGCAGTGAATGCACACCATACCTGCTGTACTGGGATGTTCATCCTAGTTGCGATACAAGGGATTGGCATTTCCAAAGCAACTCCTCCAGCCCCGGCAGAGGGTACAACCAATTATTTCCATCAAAAAACAGCAAACAACAACTAGTGATTCATAGTGATTCTCTTCCATGTCACTGCATTATCCAAAGGAATGTTCCGATGGATCCTTCCTCAGTTTTGGTGAGTCCCTATAAATTCACTTCCGCACATCGCTGTGGTCGCGATGGAGCCATGGTCGCTCTGACACCTGGGGATGAGAGCGACGACATCGGCTATGGGCCATTGGGCAGAAAGGGGAAAGATCAGTCGAGCGACGCAGGATGTTCCTGATGCGCCAGCCACAAAGTGGAGACAAAGTAACAATGGTGATCTACTTGATGTGACATCGTTTAGAAACATGCACACTAGATTCATACTCTAAATATACTGTAATCCTGAAACGGATAGGATATGATTTTGTGCCCCTTCTTTAATATTGGTTTGGGCAAAGGGATATGTACTTCGGGAGTACATTGATTTCTTCATTGAAATGTAATCCCAGATCTATAGACTATCATAGAGAGAAGGAATACTTTGCAATCGCTTCCCCACAGAGGCCTCGAAGTGGTCCTGCTGTGACTGATTTCTGAAGCCAGTCCTTCCCTTTTTCATTTTTTTGTCCCACCCTGAGCGATCTCTTCGATCTGTGTCCCTTTTTCGGTGGCGGCGGGCGGCGGTTTGGTCCAACGAGGTGGTTTGGTCATGGACGAGCCATGAGAGGTGATATGAGGTGATTATGATCAACCCACCGTCCATTATAGTCATGGATAATATTGTGTTGTACCATATATATTATATATCTATGAATCTAATATATGTATCAATACATATATATAAATGGACCCTAAGAATCCCTAAGACACTATAGTTTGAGTTGTGTGTTTTCACCATAGTGCTGTTGTACTCACTCACAATTTGCATCGCGAGTCTCTTGATGTCAAGGCCACTTTTCAAAACACTCAATACGGTGTCCTCGGTGTTGTCCATCCTGGGCTGCTTGCTGGTGCGGCACCCCAGTTTCTTTCCTGCTACAAAGAATATGTTGAGTAGCAGTAGGACTTTTGAAACTTCAGAGAGTCATTGATCTATTTCTCTTGACAACACAACTGTTGAGCAAGCAGCCTGTGAGATTTAAATTGCTTATTTCGGGAAGTCAACAGGTATCCTAATCTTGTGCCCTTGGAGATTGGACACTCACTGCCATCAAAATCTTTGAGAGAAGGCGTTGGCATGGCACATTCATCCCAAATTGTTTCTTGCATCAGCAGAAGATGTTTGGCAGGGAACCAGAGAAAGGATTTTTTGGGGGAAAGACTAGAGGCCGACCTCCCAAAATGAACACAGAATTAGATGCTTGCGCATGTTCAGTGGAGGTACTTCTCGTGTCTCAGGGCAGGTGATCAGAACTAGCTGTCGTTTGTGTGGCAAATCTATTATTGCCTTGTGCAATTTAAGAGCAGGACAACAGGGCATTGGACATGCTTCCCCCTGTTGCGACCAGACGTCACAAACACAAACTGCTCATCGCTTGCTCGTCAGGTCATCGGCGCATTTTTAGGCTTCCCAGCCTTGAGGCCAAGCTCCATTCCGAGTCTTGACATGTCTTAAACTCCAATTTGTTGATATATTTAAATTAATTACTTGTTTTTTTTTTTAAATACTGTTATATATTACGAAATTCAACCTCTTTTTAAAAGCCGGCTCCTACTTAATTAAGTAGGCAAGCTACTAGTATGGACGCAAGACAGCTCATGCTTCTTCAAGGAAGCTCCCTCCGCCTGAGGGTGGGGTGAGCTTCCTTGAAGAAGCGCTCGCACTAATGATTTGGTTCCTAGACTTTTAGGAAACTTACTTTTAGAAATGAACATCGCACCAAGACATAAATGCTGCGGCCAACCACGTCCAGCAAGGTTTCGGGGTCCTGATAGATCCAGCTGGGGGTCAAAGGACGGATGTGTCACAACGGACCCCAAAGAGCGCTGAACGGAGGTTCCGGAATTTCTAATAGCTTCTTGTTACTACTAGTAAGGCCAGGAGCCCCTAGT